GGGGGTGGTGTGGTGTTGTTTTTAATGTCCAACTTATTTTTTGCCTGTGCCCTGCAGTAAAGTGGTTGTTTTTCTTAACAGAAGAAATCTGTGATGTCTAAGAGCCGTGCCACGTGACGCCACTGCTTTTAAATAAGCTTTTAAGAGGTTGGACCAGATGTTGGCCACATCTGTGTTTTTATTTCGTCGAACGTTTCATTTCGACCCTTTTATTAAAAGAGAAAATGATCATTTAGAAATTGATTTGAAAAGTTTAGCAGCTGGGAAGATCTTTCTGGTATATAAAAAAGCAAGGGGGTTACTTTCCGTGCCCTGGAGTGAGCCGTATAACACCGAGCAGACAGATGTTTATGGCTGGTGGGGTCTACTCCTGTTTGAAACAATTGCCATGGAAATTTTCAGATCAAAATGGATGTGTTCTGTTTTGAATTGGCATTCCGTAACAAAACATGTATGTTTTTTCCTCAGTGAAAGCGTTAAACTAGGTTTGAAGGCACCTTCTCTTCTGAAAAGCCCCTTGCTTTTAATGAATGCCTATCGCCTTGGCAGAAAAAAGGATAACTTGCAGGCAGAGGGATATCCTGCAATTACTCCCTCTATTGCCATTATGGGGTCTAAGAAACGCTTATTACGTATAACTTGCTCCTGGATTCTTCTCTGCAATTTACCAGTTGGAGAATGAGTTTTCCGTCCCCGTTGCTAATTGATCCAATGAGAAAAACTGGCACCTAATTCAGTAACAAGTTATATTTAAAATGACACGTGAAATTAGTCACGGTGCCTGAAATTACATCATTTTCAGTCTGGCAGATTAGGGCTGTATAAGGGAACAGACACCTCCTGTACTGTGACATTAAATTTTAAACTTGGGATCCAAAAATACAGCAGAGTATAGGAGAAGTGAGGTGCTTAATGATGAATAAAAGCAGTGGCAGCTTGATTTCAGTGGGACATTTTTATTGTTCATAAGATGCTGTGGCAGTTTTTGCAACAAATGATTTTGGGATGAGCAGAATTTTCTGTGAAGTTGAGCAGAGACTTCAGTCTGGAGTAGTTCTGTCACCACTTCCAAATTCTGATTTTCTAGCCTGCAATTTTCACAACTTACTCGTGATTTTTGAGGTTGGCTCCCTTTTTCTTTGTCCCTAGGTCCAAGCCTGTGTAAATAGTTGGTATTTTAGTTTATCTGGTGCAATAAATATGGGGAAAGCCAATGAATCTTCTCGGTTGCAGCAGGAGGGACGCATAGTGCTGTTTTCCAGTACACCCTGGACTCCCGTGGATGCTGCAGCATACAGTGATTCCTCTCTGTGCTTTGCATGATTACGGTTTGCTAAAAAAAAAATCCCAGTGAGTTATATTAAAGAAGCGTCAAAGCACCAGGATGTATTCTGTCACCTTGCTCTTCCTCTCCAGCCTCGAGCCGGGGTGTGCTTTGCCGTGTCCATGGGTCCCATCGCTGCCTGCCTGGGAGCAGGGTGCCTGCGCGAGGAGCTGGGGGCCCTGCTGCAGAAAGTTCTGCTCTTACTGCACTCTACAGAGATCAGACCAGAAGAAAAAACTACTGAGCAGTTACATAGTTTTTATAAAATCTTTTACGCTTTTCAAGTATTTTCAGGGGAAAAGGTTGTAAAGTAAACCTGGTGCCTGGGACTAAAGTACAGTTGATTTCTAAATGTAATGGCAATGAGATGTGTTCCTTAAGGCCTTTTCAGTCATATTAGCATCAGATTACCTGAACTGATGAAGTTGATGTTACATTTATGAGACAATCTCAGAAGAGAATCAAAGCGCAGCGTGTCGTGGTTTAACCCAGCAGCTGGCAGCGAGGACCACGCAGCTGCTCACTCACTGCTCCCCCGACAGTGGGATGGGAGGAGAGCGGGAAAAAATAAAACTCGTGGGTTGAGATAAAAGTGGTTTAATAAGACAACAAAGGGGAAAAAAATAATAATAGTAATAACAGAGTATGCAAAACAAGCAATGTGCAGTACAGTTTTTTTCTCACTGACTGATGACCGAGTGCACAGCCCATCCTCGCACAGCGATCGTGGAACTCACAGATTTCGTGGAACTTGCACAAGACCAAACTCTTGGAAAAGTATTGAACACCTGGAAAAGAGAGAGTTGAACTCCCAGAAAAGAGGCTCTTTTCCCCCAGCCATCCCCCCCATTCCTAAGCTGAGCATGCCGTCCATGGTATGGAATACTTCCACTGGCCAGCTTCCGCGGGCCAGCTTGCCTCGCTCCCTGGCTGTGCTCCCTCCCAGCTCCTGCACGCCTGCTCATTAGCTGAATTGGAGGAACTGGAAAAAATCCTTGATTTCTTAGCAACAACTAAAAATATTAGTGTATTATCAATATTCTCATACTAAATCCAAACCACAGGAGCTATCGGGAATAAAATTAACTCTGTCCCAGACGAAACCAGGACAGAGTGTTGTGCAGTTCCTTGCAAAAGGACATGTTCTTTGGGCTGAAAACCGTTTCGTGTATGACTTGGTATGGAAAGAGTTTAGAACTTTCTGTTGATGGTTTGAGGTGGATTTGGAAAAGACATTTGTAAGCGCTTGTTGTCTGGTACCGGCAAATGTCCGTTGAGCTGAGCAGCCAGATCCTTTGCAGCACCTCAAGAAGCACAGCCTTTGTGCATAAACCGATGTTTTGGTTGGCTTCCCAACCCTGTGGTTGCATGTACTTCGGGCAACTGGTTTAAACACCTGAGTTTTGCCAAGCAGAGCATCGTTCGTGTCTTCTGGGAATGCTCATAATTCCTACCTTTGCTTGCCATCACCCGTTGGTGCCCCTCAAGCCTCGAGGCTCCGGGTTGCATTAACCTGCCGCTGGATGGAAGCCCTGCAGCTGCCTTCCCCCACGGCTGGTCCAGCGCCACGCTGCTCGGGAGCTCGGCTCCGCGGGGAATCGAACCGTTTGAGGGCCCTGGCTTGTGGGGAGGCACAGCCCTGGGGCTAGGGAGCAGGACCCGGGAAGATGCCAAGCTGTTCTGCCCCGTTTCAGTTTGAAGTTGTTATTGCAGATTGTTGAAACTTAATTTGTTTATTTTTTCTGCAAGTAAGCTGATTAGGTCATCTCTTGTTTAGCCTTGATTAGATGTAATGGAGATGACCAAGAAGGTTGCTTCATTCCCCAGCACAAGTCTTTGTTGAATAATTTATTTTCTTCTCTACCTGGACTACATTAATAGTGTATTAGTACTGTACATTAATGTGATGTGGAAAATCAGGTTTTGCTGCTGTACATTGTGCCAGTCCCAAATTAGGCCTCAGTTCTGTGCTGTTATGCTTTTTAATGAGTAGAATATATGAAAGTGTTTTCAGAAGAAGTATTAGCAAATACAGAACTAGAAAAATTACAGTGAAATTATAGTTGCAGAAATTCATTACAGTTTGACAGCTATCTAGACCCTTCCATAGCTTTGAAAAGTTATTTTAGAATTTGGAAATGTTTTCATAATTCCCATTTTACAGAGGGAAAAGCTAATACCCATGGTATGACTGTCAGCATGATGTGTTATTCACTGGTTTCAGGCTGCTTGCCTGAAAAAAGAAAATATTTTCAAAGTGATAATTTACAGATGAATCGCTGACCTGTAGGCTCTGACAGAGAAATTCATGTTATGATGAAAGAAAAATGGTCATCTTCCTAAAATGGCTGTAAATTAAGATGGGGGGAAAAAAGGCAACTGGAAGTGTCCAGCAAATTTTTGGTATTGAAGAGAACTGGAACTGGGCTTGTTTAGCCTGAAGAAGAGGAGGCTGAGAGGGGACCTAATAAATGCTCATAAATATCTGAAGGGTGGGTGTCAGGAGGATGGGGCCAGACCCTTTTCAGTGGTGCCCAGTGAAAGGACAAGGGGCAGTGGGCACAAACGGGACATAGGAAGTTCCGTCTGAACATGAGGAAGAACTTCTTCACTCTGAGGGTGACGGAGCACTGGAACAGGCTGCCCAGGGAGGTTGTGGAGTCTCCTTCTCTGGAGATATTCAAGACC